TTATTTTTGTATCAAGCTTTATGATATTTGTATTAAGCTGATGATAATAGTAAAATCTTTAATAGAGTAAGATAGTTTAAGTTACATGTATTTTCTTTTATCTATATCCATATACAGAAAAGACTAAAGACTCACCAAATTTTGGTAATACCTGTATTCTTTTGCTGGAATCTGCTTTGAGAAACTGAAGGTAAAATATGGAATTTATAGATTCAGACTTCTATTATTCTTATATGATGATCAATCCCATGAAACAAATCCCATGTTAAAATAGGGAACTTAGCTCAGCCGGTGTGGCTCAGTGGTTGAGCATCAACCCATGCACCAAGAGGTCGCTGGTTCAATTCCCGGTCGGGGCACATGGCCAGGTTGTGGGCCCAGTCCCCAGTGGAGGGGTGTGCAGGAGGCGGCCAATCGATGTTCTCTCTCATCACTGTTTCTGTCTCTCTCTCCCTCTCCCTCCCTATCTCTCTAATATCAATAAAGAAAAAATATTTAAAAAAAAAATAGGGAGCTTAGTGAGTTCCACCAACTTCCTTGTTCCCTTACCAGTTACACCGCCCCTCACTCTGCCCTACACACACTTTCTCTGCTATATTTTAGGAAATGTTTTCTGTCTTGTCTTTTTCCACCTATTTCTTCTCCCTTCTGTTTTTTCGGCCTTGTAACTTTGCATAACCTTTCCAATGATATCCTGTGGATTATGCTAAAGTGTAATAAATAAATCACATAGTTGAGTTTGTAGAAGAACCTTATACCATCGAACCACAGTTGAAGGAAACTGAGAGGTCTTTGTAAAGAAGTATGAAGTTAACTCTGCTCTTTGTTCCATTTCTTCTTAGCACTTCAGTGTTTTTGTATGAACTGTTTCAAACGTCTGACTTCCCCTGTTATACCAAATAGATGAATGGCATTTTATTATCAAATAAAATTCCCCACCTTGTCATTCAAGTAGTCAGATTGCTCCACTACTATATACATTTTATTATCAGGTGATTAAGTACATTTTATCTAAAAACCTTTCTCTCAAGTCTTAGTTCCAGGTGATATATTTTTAAAGTGCTGCAAATTTTATTCTCGTGCTTACTTTATCCCAAATGTTAATGTGGAATGCCCCCAAACAACTGTTTTTCCCGTCTTTCATTTATCCTTAAACTTCATCAGCTAACAAGAAGCCCAGAGTTTCATCATGTGCCTTCTTTGTCTTTTTAACCTTAAAGATTGCCCCATGGATCAGTATTACTTTCAGAAGTAAGATTATGAAGATAATTTTGTGATGGTGCTATTTATTTTCATTCATCTAATATTTCGGATGCATTTAGATTCCATTGTTAGCCAAGTCTTAATAGGTTAAATTTTACTAATTTATAAAATTAAACATAACAGTTATAAAGATAAATGTGTAAATGGGCCCATACATGACAGCCTTGCCCTTGCTACCTCCCAGGAGACAGAGTTCCGGGAAACCTGTGCATTGAGAGGAAGCCTTAGCTCCCAGCCCTCCTTAGCCTAGCGAGCTGCAGGCACCCGGGACTGTTTCTCCCTCATGGCCAAAGCAAGGGGTTATGGCTGCAGAAGGCCTCTTTTCTGCACGTTTTTTTAAAAGTAAATATGAATTAAAATGTTAATATATTTTCTTATTTTAAAAATGAGAATTATAATTAATGATCTGAACTTAATCTGGCAAGATCTGTAACTTTTCTATGAGCAATATACGGCCATTAACTTTGAAGACTCTTCATATTGAATTTGTAATCCATTTGACTCATATTGAGCATGTACTTGCTTGGACTTACAGATTTTATCGGGTGAAATGTAACATAAAGTCAGCATTTTGAAGGGAGAAAATATCTGGATAAGTATATATTTGTTCTTAAAAATGTGTTCGAGACAAGCTTATGTGTGATAGATTATTTAAAGATTTGTGTATATTTCTAGTCTTCTTGTTTTTTATTTTAAATAAACTCCAATCCCATCTTCAAGACACTTCAGTGAATCCTTTGCTGGGTCTAACATCGCCCATTACACAGGCCGCTGTTACACGTTTCATGGCTGTGTTGTGATCACGTGTTTAACTCATCTATTAGACTGTACCCCCTGCGGGCAGGGGCTGGCTGCATCTTTTATTTTCTCAGCATAAAGCACTGTGCTGCCATAGTGATGTTAAATATGGAGATGTGTGGGATTTTGATATCAAAATTCTACTGCTAACCACAGTAAATTTACTCCTAACCACCCTGGAAGATCCCTGAGACCAGAAAACTAACACCCCTGAGACCAAAACACAACTGCAAAAGCAAGCAGGGGAACCTTAGCTGGGTTGGTGCCCAGAAACGTCACGGTAGGGCACTGAGAAATTGGGCTAGAGCATCAGAGCTCCTTAGGGGGCCTCTTCTGTACCTTAGGTTCAAAACTGAATGTCACAACTAGCTAGTGACATGGGAGGACCACGCAACAGCGAAGGGAAGGGTACACAACATCAAAGGGAGCTGATGACTTTCTTCCCATGTGGGCCCTGGCTCAGCTTACCCTGTCCACCACATGGAATGAAGGGCTATGAGGGAGAGGGTCCCAACCGTGCGTACAACCTTTTAAAGCATGGTGACCCTACTTTTGAAGGTGATATAATTCAAGTCCTCAAATTTAACTAATCAGATTAGTGTTCCTCATCTTTTGGGATGACATGAAGAGAGGAGTTGGCAAAGACACTGATTATACCTCCCCTTGAACTTTGTAAGTGAGCTTCAATAAGTGTTTATTTATCCATAAATGAGTTCCCATTTCAAGTAAATTTGTATTTATATCTGACATAGCCTTTTCTAATTGTTTTGATGTTCTTATCTTAACCTTTGAAATTCACATATTCTCAGTGTTTTTATGACTATACACTTATAGAACTATCATTACTCAGTGTTGGTATTGGTGTAGGGAAGATGTATAATATAACTCCAGGAGAGTTCTTGAATTCGCTTTGACCTTTGTGCAGAATGTGTCCAAATGGAATTGGGCCATTTGCTTATGAAAAGAACATTAACGTAGCTATACTTAAGAGTAGAAAGCTCTGAAACCTTGATTTGAAATTTATTCATATTGTGAAGTATCATTTAAATTATCAATGTTTTCATTCTTTTGGAGATAGAAGAATAAGAATATGATGCCTGGCTTCTTCTGTATAGCAGAATTAGTGTTGGTTAAGCACAGATATTTAATTTGGTCTTATGTGAATTGGATAACATTGGTTCCATTAAGTCATTTAAAAATGTACCTTATTATATTATTCAAGTGCTATGCACATAGACATATAAAAGCAAAATAAGAGCTATTTCAAATAATGAGCTCTCTAAAAGGTCTTGTAGGTGGTATGTGGAGACATATCAAGGAGGCATTTGTTAGCTTTAAAAAAAATTTCTAGTTTTATTGAGAAGTAATTGAAATGCATCACTGTATAAGTTTAAAATGTACAGCATGATGGTTTGATTTACACATAACGTAAAATGATTACCACAGTAGGTTTAGTTAACATTCATCATCTCACATAGATACAATAAAAAGAAAACAAAATGTCTCCTTGTGGTAGACCAGTTAGGATCTACTCTCTTAACTTTCCTACATATCAAAAGCAGGGTTAACTATAGTCATTTAACCCTTAAGTATTTTGTAACTGGAAGTTAGTAGCTTTTGACCTCTTTCCTCCAATTCTCTGCTCCTCCCCCACCTCTGATAACCACAAATCTGATCTCTTTTTTTATGAGTTTGGTGTGGTTGGTTTTGTTTTGTTTAAATTCCATATATAAGTTAAATCATGCAGTATTTGTCTTATGCTGTCTGGCTTAGCATAATACCTTCAAGGTCTATCCATATTGTTGCTGGATCATACGGTAGTTCTGTTTTTAATTTTTCAAGGAACCGCCCTGCTGTTTTCCATAGTGACTGCACAGTTTAGTTTCACCAGTGGTGCACGAGGCTTCCTTTCTCCACATCTGCTCCATGGAGCGTTTGTTATCTCTTGTCTTTTTGATGACGACCATTCTAAAAGGTGGAGGTGAGCCCTGGCCGGTTTGGCTCACTGGTAGAGCATCGGCCCACAAACCAATGAGTCGCGGGTTCCATTCCAGCCAAGGGCACGTACTTTGGTTGCGGTTCGTCCCCAACCCTGGCTGGGGTCATGCGGGAGGCAACCAGTCGATGTGTCCCTCTCATGTTGATGTTTCTCTCTCTCCCTTTCTCCCTCTATCTCCGTCCCACTCTATCTGCAGATAAATAGAAAAATATCCTTGAGGGAGGATTAAAAAATAAAAAGTGTGAGGTGATACCTCACTATAGTTTTAATTTGTATTTCCCTAATGACTAGTGAGGTTGAGCATCTTTTCATGTAACTGCTGGTCATTGGTATATCTTCTTTGGAAAATGTTTGTTCAGGTTCTTTGCCCATTAGATTATTTATTTTCTTGCCATTAAGTTATACGAGTTCCTTATGTATTTTGGAGATTAACCCCTTATTAGATACATGGTTTGCACATATTTTTTCCATGCTGTCGGTTGTCTTTTCACTTTGTGATTGGCTTCTTTGGCTGTGTAGAACCTTTTAAAATTAATGTGGTCCCCATTGTTTATTTTTTATTTTGTTGCTTGTGCTTTAGGTGTGATTTTCATAATACCATTATCAAGGTCCATGTCAAGGAGCTTTTTCCTGTTTTCTTCATGGAGTTTCATGGTTTCAGGTCTTACATTTTAGTCTTTAATCCATTTCAAGTTAATGTTGGTGGGTAGTGAAAAATAGGGATCTAGTTTTGTTCTTTTACATGTGAATATTCAATTTTCCCAGCACCATTTATTAAAGACACTGTTTTTTCTCTATTGCGTATTCTTGGCTCCCTTGTCAAATATTAGCTGACTGTATATGCTTGCATTTTATTTCTGGGCTCTCAATTCTGTTCCGTTGGTCTGTTTTTCTATTTTTATGAAACTAATTGAATGATTATATTGTGTCCTTTGCTTAGGGTGTTCCAGTGATGGCAATAAGAAACAAAATGATATCAGAAGGGCTAGACCCAGATCTTCTTGAGTAAGTAATTCTTATTACAATGATATTACCGCTGAGATGTTGAATTTATCAGTTATAATAAAAAGATTTCCAACTCTCTATACATTTTTCCTATACAGTGTTTTATAGTTGAGGAAACCAGCTTCATAAATAGTGTCTCTGCTATATCTCTCTTCTGCTGCTAAACACCAGCCGTTGCACATTCAGGGGCAGTTACAGTAGGTCGGTGATGAATCTACATGTCCAAAGAGATGGAATTAGATGACAGTTTTGTTGCACAGCAGTAGTCTCCTCAAAAAGCAGTGTTTTTCCCTCTTTGTGCTACCTTTCTCATGTTTTTTAAAATCATCTGCCATTTGTGTTTAATACTTTAGTGTATAGGACATTTACTCTACCAAGATCCCAGTTGAGCCAGATTGAGATTAAATAGGGTCAAGTCGCTCTATGTCCACAGTAATGGTAATTATAGAACTACATGTCAGTTTTTGTGAGATTTTGAAACAATTTTTTGAGAAATGCTGAAAATTTGTGGCTCAGAAATTTGGCAATAATTTATTTCATCCAAGCAAACCTGGCTACAGAGCGCAACCTGAATAAATATATATCTTAATGGATTATTCAGAACTAGTCTGTTTTGCAAGTATCTAGATACTTGTAAAGAGTGTTTCCAGTTTGGAGTTTTAGTTTACCCCAGTGTCTTTAGCCATGGACCCAGGCATTCATACCTACTAGCAGTGTATTGCTTTGGGATTTTTCTTGGCTCTCAGCCCTTCAAGAAACTGCATTTTAGAAGTAAAACACCATAAAACAGTCCTTTTCTCATATTTTATCTTCCAAAATAGGAAATTTAAGAATTTTTTAAAAGCCTACCAGGACAGATTTCCAACATGTATCTACATTTAGTATATATCCAAGTAGCAAACAGTTGAAGTACAATGGCATGGATTGGTAATTTGAACTAAAGTATCTCTGGGATATTTGACTTTTGTTTTGGACATTCTTTCTGACACATGCGTTAAAAGCAGATGGATTGTGACATATATTTTAATGTGAATTGAACATGTAGGTCCAATCCATTTTGGCACTCATTGAAATATATGTTATAAATATATTTAACATTGACCATGGCTTCCTTTTTGCTTCTGGAAATACACAGTAGGCCTCGATAATAACAGAAAGCTAAAATGGCCTTTAAAATGCTGATATTTTTTCCTCTAGAGAAAATGTAATGAATGGAAGACAAGCAGCCCTACAAGCATCAGCATATGCTGGATGGCCAATCCCTTCAGCTCCTATTTGCTTCACTTCATCCCTGGCCTAGACTAAACCTCCTTTAAAATCCTTTACTTAACCAGCTACCCACAGTAGCAAATAGAAAGTCAACCTTGATTGTGCCCTCTTCCCTACCTTCCCATATCAATCACTATGATGGTCTTGTTTTTAATATCCCTTACATCTGACCACATGCCCCCATGCTCATTGCTGTTTAGTTCAAACTCTCATCATTTGGCACCTGAATTATTACAATAGCTCCAGATTGGGTTCCTGATTCTCTTAATCTGTCACCAAAGTCTGAGTGTTTCTGTTCATACTTCACTCTTGCTCGAATCTTTTTGTGACGCTCCGTTACCTTCCATGTGGAGTCTAACATATTAGACTTGCATATAAGTGCTTTTGTCATCAAGACCCAGATTTTCTCAGCTTCATTTCTTGCCACTCTTCCACGCCACCCATGCAGCTGTAGCAAACTACCGGCACTTCTCTGAACGTATCATTGTCCTGCTCCCTTTTGGTGTCTTTCATTGTTTTCCTTCTTCTCCATGGAGCTTCCTTCCCCCATCTTATCGGCCTGGTTAATTTCATATTTTTTAAGACTCCATTTAGGTATCGCCACCCTAAGAAGTCCATGGATGACTACCAAGGGGAGAACTCCCTGTACCCCCAATACTTCCTTGATGTATCTCATTTAGCAAGTTTGAGGGTAGGTCATTGTCTGTAAATGTTGAGAAACATTTGGATGCAAGGTGGTGCCAAGTTTCAGGGTAGAATTCCAGTAACAGTTAAAACATGGTCTTACACAAAAGCTGCTCCTCAGCCACAGGCTGGAGCCATAGTTCTGACCCATTACCTCATAAGTCCAGGCCGATGGTCACCAGGGGCACTGGTTGGGGTAGAGGTGACTCACTTTAACCTAGCACCACTACCACTAGCAAACCAGCTCCAACCACAACTAGGTAGATATGAGAAGGGGAATCACTGCCTTGCTGAAGAGGGATTCTGGCACTTTGGGAATCATGTTTACTTAAAAGTTAAGGCACCTCACTTTGGAAGAAAGGTCTCAGCTGATGAAGGGGAAGAAAATGTGCCACCCAAGTGAAGAGTGTACTTTTATTTAGAATCTTAGGTACATAGTAAGCCTCAGCCAAGAACTTTCAGTAAAAGATTGTTCTGTTTTCTTTTTTCTTTCAAAATATAAACTACACTTTTTTATTAGCCTTAGATAGTAAGACAGACTGATGTAGCTGTTAGAAGAAATAGTCTAGATCTGTCTGCACTGAGCAAAGAGCAAAGCTGAGGTTAATGTAGAAATAAATACTAATCAGCAAATAAATTGTTATTTAATTAGGTATAAAACTTCACTAGCTAAGAGTACATAACTTTAAACTAAAACAGTTCACATGCTAAAGAAGAGAGCCTGGCTATTTCCCTAGAAAAAGGACTATCATCCTTTTATATATATATATAGCCAAGAATTAGTCCTGTTTAGGTTGTCAAAATTAGTTTCCAATGCCACTGAAATAAACAGATATGTGAAAGAGTACCTCTGTCACCATCATACTTAAAAAGTTTAAAGGGACAGAAATGGAAAATTTTGAGGTTAATCTGTTTTAGTTTTATATTCAGAAATATGGAATAGATAAATCGTGCCTTGTAAATTCTTTCAATCAGTGCCTATATTTTCTGACCAAGGGAAAGAAAAAGATAAGATGTTGCTCCCATATCCTTTTCTGTGCTTACATTTATGTCCCGGAACTAAGGTACGATAACCAGGTGGTAATTGCTGTTTTGACTGCTCTAGGACATAGAGATTAGCTGGGGCCTGCCCATCAGCAAGAGCTGAAATCCACGGCGGTTAAGGCTCAGGCTACGCAGGTTTTGGAAAGTTAGCCAGAAACGGTCAACTCGAGCCCTGGCTGGTTTGTTCAATGGTTAGAGCATCAGACTGTGGACTGAAGGGTCGCAGGTTCAATTCTCGGTCAAGGGCACGTACCTGGGTTGCAAGTTCGATCCCTGGCCCCAGTCAGGATCGTGCAGGAAGCAGCTGGTCAATGTGTCTCTCTCACATTGATACTTCTCTCTCTCCCCCTTTCACTCTCTCTAAATATAATGGAAAAAGATCCTCGGGTGTGGATTAACAACAACCAAAAGAAGTAGTTAACTTGCTGGGGCTCAGATTCTGCACTGCTGCTTTCTAGCTAAATGACCTTGGACTAATTACCTGATCTCTCTATGCATTTCCTCATCAGTAAAATGGAAAATAGAAGAGTTCGCTCATCATATATAGTTGTTCAGCTTATGTAGGAGAATAATGTAAGCACTTAGCACAGCTCTGGACAAGCAGTAAATGTTAGTTCTGATTTATGAATGTTTTAATGGAAGAAGATGTAGCAAGTTCTAAACAACTAGATTTACCAGGCTTTTGAATCACAACTTGTTTAAAATCCTGCAGTTGCCTGTATACCATTGTTTCAGCAGAGACATATTTAACATGCACAGAGCAGTTATCCTTCTGAATTACATTGTTTTCTCAAACTGAAAAATCTGCATTTTAAACTCAATATTAGGAGAAAGGTATAGTTTTCAGCATATTGATTTGGCTGAAGAAAGCGTATAATTGAGTTCAAATTACTGTGCAGACTTTGAACAGAAACAGCTCATTTGGCATTTGTCCTGGAGAGATCTATTCAAAAGATCCATACCCTTCTCCCAGACTATGAAATGACCGACCTTATGGTTGCCAGAAATAAAGGGTAACCAGCTCAGCCTACTTATCACTGAGACAAGAGAAGATGTATTAGCATTAACCAAAAAGATGCTGGAAATCAAGAAAACTTTCTATCAATTATATTCAAGCCTTGCCCAGCAGATTCGCCTGCTTTGTAAGGGAATTCCCTGTCTGCCAATTAGACCCGTTTCTCCCTCCTGCTACACAGCAACACAGTGGAGGGAAGGCTGGGTTTTGGCTGATTGAGGGTAGAATAAGTCTCAATTCCCCAGCCAGACAATTCTAAAAGTAGGTTTTCCACTGGTTCCACTCTTTTAGTTCTTGCTGAGCTGAGTTCCCATTCAATTTAGTTGCCAGTCCTCAACCACTGGCTGACAGACTGGCTAGAAAGTATAGGACAGGGAAAAAAATGTCAAAAACTTGTGATTGGTTCACTGTTGGTCACAAGAGGGAAAGAAGTAATGAAAATATCAAAAAGGTGGTGTTAAAAAGCAGTTGTGGTTTGATCCCTGGTCAGGGCTTATATAAGAATCAACCAGTGGGCCTTCCTAGTGTGGCTCTGTTCGTTGGAGTGTCATCCTGTACACCAAAGGGGGGGGTGGGCTCGATTCCCAGTCACGGGAACATGCCCAGGTTGTGGGTTCGATCCCCAGCTGGGGTGCGTGCAGGAGGCAGCCGTCAGTGTTTCTCTCTTGCATGAATGTCTCTCTCTCCCCCCACCCCTGAAGTTAATTAAAGATAATTTGACTTAGAGTAGCCAAATTCAAAGATAGAAAGAATAGTGGTTGCCACTATTTATATAAAGAATCAACCAATGAGTGCATAAGCAAGTGAGACAACAAATTGACGTTTCTCTCTCTCTCTCTCTCTCTCTCTCTCTCAAAAAATAAATACACACACACAAAAATGGAGGCAAAAGAGAGCAGTTGTGCTCTGCCAGTGGCTAAACTTCCACCTATAAAATGAATATCGTGGGGAAGTAGTGTGTAGCATGGTGACTATAGTTAACAGTACTCTAGTGTATAATTGAAAATTGGTAAGAATAGATCTTAGAAGTTCTCATAACAAGAAAAAAATGTTTGAAGCTATCTATAGTGATGAATGTTGACTAGACTTATTGTGTAACGATTTCACAGTATATACAAATATCAAAACATGGTGTATACCTAAAACTAATATGCTTTTTGTCAATTACATCTCAATTATAAAAAATGAATGAAGGCAAACAATACCAAGTATTGGCATGATTATGAAGAAACTGGAACACTTGTGTACGTGTATAAAGGATACAGCCTCTGTAGAAAACAGCCTGGCAGGGCCTCAAAAAATTCACCCTAGAATTACCATATAATCCAGCAATTCCCAAAGGTGGAAACAACCCAGATGCCCAGCCGCAGATGAATGGTTAAACAAAATGCACTATATGCACTCAATAAAATATTATTCAGCCTTAAAAAGGGAGGAAATTCTGATATATACGCTATAACATGGATAAACCTTGAAGGCCTTCATTATGATAAATGAAATAAGCCAGGCACAATACTTGTTATAGTAAATAACAAATACTATATGATTCCACTTAGAGGAGTCCAATTAAAGACGGAGAGTAGAATAGTGGTTACCAGTGGCTAGAGGGAAAGGGGGTTGGGATTTACTGTTCTATGGGTATAGAGTTTCAGTTTTGCAAGATGAAAAGAGTTCTGGAGATGGTGGTGATGATTACAGAACAATGTGAATGACTGCGTAAGCATCCCAAACTTCGTTGTGTGATTTCAGTGAAAACATGTATCTTGTATTACTTCTCCCCATCCTTCACCTGTTAAGGTGAAGTGACCTAATCTCATCTACTTTTGCCCCGAGATACACCTTGCCCTCTGGCTACCAAGTGACTGATGGTCCCAAATGCAGTGTCGTGCTGTCCCCATTTCCCCTGTACTCAGAATCTCATCCCGTTCATTCGCACATTTTCTGTTTCTGGCAAACTCCTGCTCCCCTGGCAAACCCGTCCACAAGTGTGTTCATCTCTCTGGAGTCTTCTCTAATCACCCCTCGTGGAGTGAACTCCTTTTCCCCACGTGTGGCTCGGACAGCTGTGCATCTCACGCTGTGGAACAATAATTGTTGCGTTTCCATCTCCCCCGACTAAAATATAAGCTTCTTCAGGGCAGGGCTGCTGTCACTCATCTGATCTCCAGCACCTGACACAGTTCCTGGCAAAGAGTAGGTGCATCATGATGATGAGAATAATAGCAATTATATAATGAAAATACTAGAAAATAACATTTCATGTGTGTACTGTATGTCAGATATTATTCAGTGTACTTTACACTTAGTAATGTATTTTAATCATCACAACAATCAGTGAGGTGGGTACAAGTAGCAAGGCTGGGATTTGAACCCAGTCAACCTGGCTCCATTGTCCTTGTTCCTAACCACTATGCTGTATAGCATTATATAAATCAAAAATTGTTAACATTTAAATTAATTTTATATTTTCATTCTCTCCTAGGCCTAGGTTACTTTTACTCTTTTCTTAGGTAGCATTTATTTGAAGGGAGTTGTATACATTGTTTATTTGTGTGAGTTGCCCTAGGTACTAATATAATTTTGATGTAGTATTCAAATATTTCCCCCGGGCAATTTTTTCTCTCTTTTTTTTTTTTTTTAGCAAGGTGAAGACCATAAGAAATCAACTACATAGCAAAAAGAAGTTTACTGGGAAAAATGTGCCTGGTATTCATGTCCACTACTTCTAGAGTTCTTGCTTCCATGGGTAGTGATGGAGACTCTGGTCCCATGTTAGTATTTTCGGCAGGCGGACCATCAGTCAACACCTAGAGATGCTGTAGCCAGCTTCAAAGTGGTACTGAGTCATGTGACCGCCTAGGCATGGTCTGAAATTGTCCAGCAGAGTGAATGGGTTTATATGTGACAACCAGGAAGCAAACCAGCATTTTTGTTTTGTAGTACGCCAGATACGATGTTAAAAAGTACAAGCCAAAACTCAGCCATAATTTTTAGTAACTGAAAGTAAATAGTAGACTATGCATTTTCTTACTTTAGTAATAGTAGTTATATGTCTGGCAGAGAAGGGCTATATTTGTTGGTGTTCTAAATCTTTACTAAGAATCAAGGAGCTTGAGGGGAAAATAAGTCTGGTAGTTTGTAACTGTCCAGACAGAGCACCTGTATTATTCTTCCTGTCCCTCTCAGCTTCCCTAAAGTAGACTTGACTCGTGTAGTTTACTTGCTGGGTAAGGTGTATGGAGGGAGGCTGGGGATAGTGCTCCCACGCTCACTGATTACTGACACCTGCGGAGCATCTAGTTGACAGTTTTAATGACAATATTAAAACTGTACTTGGCTTCATTATAGCACACACATGCAGAGTTGAGCCGTTCTCACATCTCATTGCTCAGAAGTGAAAGCATTCAACACATATGAAGAACCTTCGTCCCTGCAAAGTTTCCACATTGCCTGTGTGTCTTAGCAGCCGTCCGTGAACTCTCCTCCATTTTCAACATTTCTGCCTGCAGCTTCCTCTGGTCATGTCCCTTTCTTCCCGCTGCTGGCTTTTCTCTCTCTGCACCTCGGCGCCCTGGAGGCTGTGCGGCCGTCGCACTGGTCACACCAGCCTCCCCCCGTCACCTCTCCGCCTCTGGGCGCGCTCTGCAAAGACAGGCTGGAGCAGCTGGGGCCGGGCCGTGCGGAGGCGCTGCGTCCACGTCCACGGGCAGGAGCAGCTGGGGCCGGGCCCTGCGGAGGCGCTGCGTCCACGTCCACGGGCTGCAGCAGCTGGGGCCGGGCCGTGCGGAGGCGCTGCGTCCACGTCCACGGGCTGGAGCAGCCGGGGTCGGGCCGTGCCGGGGCGCCGCGTCCACGTCCACGGGCTGGAGCAGCTGGGGCCGGGCCGTGCGGGGGCGCTGCGTCCACGTCCACGGGCTGGAGCAGCTGGGGCCGGGCCGTGTGGAGGCGCTGCGTCCACGTCTACGGGCTGGAGCAGCTGGGGCCGGGCCGTGCCGGGGCGCTGCGTCCATGTCTACGGGCTGGAGCAGCTGGGGCCGGGCCGTGCCGGGGCGCTGCGTCCACGTCCACGGGCTGGAGCAGCTGGGGCCGGGCCGTGCCGGGGCGCTGCGTCCACGTCCACGGGCTGGAGCAGCTGGGGCCGGGCCGTGCGGAGGCGCTGCGTCCACGTCCACGGGCTGGAGCAGCTGGGGCCGGGCCGTGCGGAGGCGCTGCGTCCACGTCCACGGGCTGGAGCAGCTGGGGCCGGGCCGTGCGGAGGCGCTGCGTCCACGTCCACGGGCTGGAGCAGCTGGGGCCGGGCCGTGCGGAGGCGCTGCGTCCACGTCCACGGGCTGGAGCAGCTGGGGCCGGGCCGTGCGGGGGCGCTGCGTCCACGTCCACGGGCTGGAGCAGCTGGGGCCGGGCCGTGCGGGGGCGCTGCGTCCACGTCCACGGGCTGGAGCAGCTGGGGCCGGGCCGTGCGGGGGCGCTGCGTCCACGTCCACGGGCTGGAGCAGCTGGGGCCGGGCCGTGCGGAGGCGCTGCGTCCACGTCCACGGGCTGGAGCAGCTGGGGCCGGGCCGTGCGGAGGCGCTGCGTCCATGTCTACGGGCTGGAGCAGCTGGGGCCGGGCAGGGCGCTCCCTCAGGGCAGGGCGCAGACTTAGCAGATCCAGTAGCAGCCGCGTTCTCGGGTGGACCTGATTTACAGGGAGTGCGTGCTTTCGTTGACTGGAAAACCTTTAAACATTCTTTCCTCTCTTTCAGGAGGCCAGATGCTCCGGTGCCTGATGGCGAAGGTGAAAAAAATGCAGAAGAAAGTTCAGATAGCGAATCTTCTTTTAGTGACTAAGTTTGACTTTGATAGCAAGTATGTATACACGTGTAGATGGACATTTACATTATATCAGAAAGAGAGCCTAAACTTGAACTCTTTGTCCAAAAAAAGCAAATGGCCAGATATTCACACCAAGCTTCCTCTGTGTTAAAACCATAATAATAATAAAGCATTTATAACCTGGCAGTATGTCTTACTACCAAAATAAAGGGCCCTGAACTGAAAAGTAAAATAGACTAAAAAAGTTCAGTTAGTGCTACAAATACTAAGATGGAATACTGCAGGGATGCAATGAGCATTTAATATAAAATCAATGTGAGGTTAGGGATCAAAAATAGACTCAACGCAAAAAAAAAAAAAGTAAATTTGTCTAGTGAATTATTCAATTTGTGTGACTATCTTAGCATAAAAGTATTATGTGCATTTGCATCATTAGAGTTAAATTTCTGGCAGAAAACAATGCTAGGTTGAAGTTTTATGTGACAACTTAAAGCTTATATATCATAGGTAATACACATACAGAATATTGGTCGTATTTACTAGCTTATAGAGCTTTTCACCACTTGGCAATTAGGTCACATGCTATCAAAGTTCTTATGGTATTTATCATCAGGTAGAAATTGAATTGAACGTAGTTTCGATGCAGTTCAGAGTGAGCAAGCATCATTGTTGTCAGCTCTTTTGCTGCCTAAACAGAAAAAATATATTTAATTTGCACAGGTTTAAAATGTCCTCACCTCACCTTGCAAATAATTCTTCAAGAATAATTATCTGCACACAGTCTAGAAAATCCCTAAAATACATATTGACCCTTGGTATCCATGGGGGATTGGTTCCAGGAACCCTTGAGGATACCAAACTCTATGGATGCTCAAGTCCCTCTTATAAAATGACATAATATTTGCAAATAACCTACATACATCCTTCCGTATACTTTAAATCATCTCTAGAATACTTATCCCTAATACAATGTAAATGCTATGTAAATAGTTGTGCTACTGTATTCTTTAAAGAATAATGACAAGAAAAAAAAGTCTGTACATGTTTAGTACAGGCGCAACCATCATAAGCCTAACTACATAGTACACGCCAGCAAGAGTGCAACATTTTTATTTATTATTATTTTTTTTAATCCTCACCTGGGGATATTTTTTCATTGATCTTTAGCTAGAGTGGAAGGGAGGGAGAGAGAGAGAGACATCAATGTGAGTGAGTCACATCGATTGGTCACCTCCTGCACAAGCCCAACCAGGGCCAGGGATAGCACCTGCAACCCAGGTACATGCCCTTGACTGGTATTGAACCCATGACCCTTCAGACCACAGGCTCATGCTCCAATCACTGAGCCAAATTAGCCAGGGCAACAGTATAACATTTTTGCAAAATATTTTTGATCCACTGTTGACTGAATTCACAAATGCTGAATCTGTAGATTTGGAGAACCAACGGTACTTACAAGAAAGATATATAAATGCATTTGATTAGTGGTGCTCATTTTAGTGTAGGCCCCCTGAAAGCAGACCCTGAGAAAAGGCCTTGGGTAAATGAAGGTCGTTTGTTAGGTGATCCCAGGAAGCAAAAACGAGAGAACAGAGAGTAGGAGGGGGGAACCTATACAAAGGCGTATTATCAAGATCGCCACAGGGGAGCTTGGGACTTGATTCCAGGACCACAGCACCACCTGAGAAATGAGCAAGTGCTTCCCAGAATTGTCCCCCAGAAGGACTAGAGGCTGGATTGTCTGTCCACTAGCCCTGGACCCATTGGTTGAAGACATTACTCCTCTACCTTTATGCGATATACTTGCACATAGGCCAGGGGGCTCCCATGGCCTTGGAAAGGACACTTGTCATAAAGTGGAGATGGGGCACTTAATTGAAATGGGTTGCTGTCACCAATAGGTGAGTCTGAGATCGGGGCTCGACTACAGCGGTGGCTGAAATGCAAGGTGGGCCCAGGGGCAGGTTGTAGGGCACCATCGCAAGCATCGGCTGCAGACAGGCTGCTTCTAAGATACCAAATGGACCTGAACTTACTTTCATTTAAAATGTATAATTTTCTTCTTGGATTCAAAGACAAGTTGGATGGTAAGCCACACTCAAGATTTCCAGAACTTTTTTCATTAAAATTTTTAGTTTGTATAATCTTCCAAGAATGGCCAAAGGATAAACAATGACTAAATCTATATCTTTATAGTCTGTTGCAATGATCATTTTTACATGTTTCCTTCTACACACTCCCCACAGAGTTTTTCTGTGAAACGTTTATATCGGAATTGGGACATGGCTCCTCTTAGAGACTGAATCGTGCCCGTGTGCCCTTGAGCAGAGCCCAGACAACATCACGTTCAGCGAAACTTTCGTTTCCAATCAAGTTCTTCACTAAAACAAGCTTGTTTTCCAGGAGTCTTGAAGAACTTCAATTCCCACAGTTTAATTCTTTCCTTCAGCAGCTACTGCAGTGGTGCCAAGGTGTCTTCAGAACATTCCCTTCTGCCTGTCTTGCTGTTGAGGTTCATAAACAGGATGGCCACTAAAGCCACCTATTTGTTAGCCAGTTTTCAAAATTCTTTCAGGAAATAAGCTATTTCTTCCCCAAAGACGATATTTTCTCTCTCAGCTGAAACTTGCCTTTAGTTATCCTTCTCCAGGCAATGAGGAAAGAATCTTAGCTTGTTAAGATGCCAAATCTTGTCAAATTTTATATAGATTAAATACAAACCAATAAAAATCCCAGAAGATTTTTCTTAAAATAGAAATTAACCAACTGATTCTAAAATTCATATAGGAATTCAAGGAACCTAGCTAAAATATCCAAAACAATTTTGAAAAAGAACAGAGTTGAAGGATTAAAACTACTTGATTTCAATAATTATTATAAGCTACCATAGTTAAAGTATGGTATTAGTATAAAAATAGACAAATTTATCAATGGAACAGAATAGAGAGTCCAGAATTAAACCAACGTACACTTGGTGCTAATTTTCAACAAAAATGTAAAGGCAGTTTAGTGGAAAAAGGACAGCATTTCAACAGATGGTGATGGAACCACCAGATATTCATAGAAAAGAATAAACTTTATACCTTGAACATTATACAAAATTAACTTAAAATGTGTCATAGACATAAATGTAAAACCTAAGACTATAAGACTTTTTGGTAAAGAACACAGGAAAAACATTGTGACCTTTGCTAGGTAAAGGTTTCTTAAATGCAATACTCAAAGCATGATCCATAGAAATCAAATTAATAAGATGGAACACCAAAATTAAAAACCATTTTTCAAAAGTCTGTTAAGCGCGGCCGGTGTGGCTCAGTGGATAGCACATCATCCCATGGACTGAGCTGTCCCAATTCGATTCCTGGTCAGGGCACATGCCCGGGTTGTGGGCTCGACCCCAAGTAGGGGGCATGCAGGAGACAGCTGATCGATGTTTCTCTCTCACATAGGTGTTTTCATCTCTCCCTTCCTCTCTCTCTAAAAAAAAAAAATTAATAAAAACATATTTTAAAAAACATTTTTCTAAAATAAAAAGATTACATATTGAGAAGGCACACTATATATCTGAAAAGTAAACCCAGGACAGCTAATAGTAAGACATATTTTACTATGCCTATTGGACAATAAGAAAAAAAAAATCCTTTGGGTATCTAGTCAAAAGAAAAACCAAGTCACTTCTAAATGAAATAACATTAGATGGTCATCAAATTTGTTGATAATGATAGTTTATGCTGAAAGAAAATGGTGTAACATATTTAAGGCACCCAAAGAAAGAAACTGCAAGCTAAATATTTTATATTTAGCCAAACAAAATTTCAAGTATAAATATATAATAAACTGTTAATCCTAAAACTCAACAAAACAAATAACTAACCCAATTAAAAAATGGGCACAGTGGTGATGGAAGGAGACTTGACTTAGGGTGGTGAACACGCAATACAATATACAGTTGAAAATTGTACACCCGAAACCTATATAATTTTATTAACCAATGTCATGCCAATAAATTCAATTAAAAACTATAACAAAAAATGAGCACAGAATTTGACTGGATATTTCTCCAAAGAAGATATACAAATGGTTAATAAGCACATGAAAAGATACCCAACATCACTAATCATCAAGAAAACGGAAATCAAAACCACAAGTATTACCTCAGACCCATTAGGATAGCTATTATCTAAGCAAAGCAATGGAGAAAGAGTGTCGGTGAGGATGTGGAGAAATCGGAACCCTTGTACGTCGCTGGTGGAGTGTAAAATTGCGTGGTTGCTGTGGGAAACAGCACAGCAGTTCCTAAAATAATTAAGCACAGAATTACCATATGATCCAGCAGTTCCACTTCTGGGTCTATACCCAAAAGAAATGAAACAGCATTATTCACAACAGCTCAAAGGTGGAAACAACTCAAACACCCATCCATGGATGAATGGATAAACAAAATGTAGCACATCACACAATGGAATATTATCTTTAAAAGGAAGGGAATTCTGATAATGCCACAGCATGGATGAGCCTTGAAGATATTATGATAAGTAAGCCAGGCACAAAACGACAAATATTATATGATTCTACTTGTACGAGGCATCTAGAGTAGTCAAATTCATAGACACAGAAGGTAGAATGGTAAATACCACTGGCTGGGAGAAGAGGAGAATAAGGAATAGTGTTTAATGGGTACTGAGCCTCAGTTGAGGAAGATTAAAAGTTCTAGAGAGCAAATGGTGGTGATTGCAGAACAATGTGGATGTACCTCATGTCACTGAACTGTATGCTTTAAAATGGTTAAAATGTTAAATTCTGTTACATATATTTTACCACTATTTTTAAAAACTGTTACAACCATGTCGGAACCTAAGAACCTAATTAGGGAATGTTGTTCCCATGAGATCTTTCCAAAGGGGGAGACAGATGAGTACACAAGGTTGCAATAGGGTTTAACAACCAGTACCACATGCTGGATATTGCTCCGAGTGCTCAAGACAAAGACTTATTTGTTTATTTAATGAATGATGACTAAGCGCTTACTATATGTCAAACACTACTACAGGTGTCAAGGATCATGTAAAGAACAAAACAGACAAACGTACCACCTTCATGTAACTTACATTTTTATTGGGGAAGAGAGACAAACAAATAAATAAAATATACTGTATGCCAGACAGTGATAATTGCTTGAAGAAAAATTAAGCGAGGTAGGCAGATGATTCAGAGGGTTGGGAGGTATTGACAATCTAGTGATGGAAAGACACACTTTTGGAAAATCAAAATGAATGCTTCAAAAGAA